TTTTTGATAGCAAATTTTTTCTTGCATGTGATATTAATGATGCTGTCCAATGAATTCTGCATTTCTTTGGGTTACCACTCTTTGAACTGTCACAAATAGAAATGTCCTTCCAGTGGTTGGCCAGGTAGTTGTTTTCCACATTTCTTGGCATAGATGAGTGAGTGCCTCCAGTACTATATTGGTCTGGGCTCCATCACTTCTTAGAGCCTTGCTCTTTGCCAATGCCTTCAGGGTATCTTGCACTTCTTCCTTCAGTACCATTGGCTCTTTTTTAAAAAAAAACAAAAACTTTTTGTTGTGAATTGAATGGTAGTTTACATGGGAGAACATCGGTTTTACACTCATCCATTTCATGGCAATAATTACAATCCCCTCCATGCATCATCATTCAACTGTATTTGCTTCTATTTACTCTGGGTTTTTTATTTTTTTGATGTACACAGAAACACTCAGGAATATATAATCATTTCAACAATGATTATATTGGCACATTCTGCAAGCCAGCTTCCTGGCTGCCAGCACACAGCCTTTCTCTTTCCATGAGTCTAGAGTCCTCAACTGCTCTATTTCTACATATCCTCACCTCTGCTTCCATCTCTGGTGTCACTGCTTTTTTGGATAGGGTCCCACATTCCACTGGTGCTCTTCTCCCTTGATAACCTTAGGGTCCTCTGTTCCTGGACTATAAGATTAACTACTCCCCACTTTTTGTTACAGAACTTCTACTTTACTGTTGTGACAGTCACAATTAGTCATGATTACAATTACTATTGAATCATAAGAATCTTTTCACCAGCCCCCTCTAGACATGATGAGGACTATTCAGTGGGGATTCTACCTTCCCCCATACACTCTTGAAAACTTGTTAGCCAGTCACTTTGTGTCATTATAGGCCCCCATATTTTAGATAGCCAATGACTAAGTTGCCTGTCTCTATCAACCCTGTATACAGAGGGGATAGGATTGATACTTGATGTGAAGACTTCCTCCCTCTCAGTTGGTATTTTTAGCTACTATAACCATAAGTATAGGTCAAGTTCATAAAATTGTAGCAATTTACACTTGTTTGCTTTGTCAAAAACTCTTTTTTTTTTTTTTTAAATCTTCAATCTTCCTCTAGTTGAGTTCTGATCATCAAGCCATTGAAACTAGGTCAAATGGGTACTATCTGCAAGTTTGGGCATTCTTATGCATCACCCCTCACTTCAAATCAGCTGAACGCTGTGCTCTCAGCTCTAGCCCTCCATGGCTAGGTCCTTTTCCATGGGTTTAGGAGTCTCTGGGTCTCACCACACTTTGGACCAATCATCCCTTCCTCTTCTCTCTCTCATTTCTAGGTAGATGGGAGCCTGCCAGTACCATTGGCTCTTGAGTGTATGTTTTCATGTGATTATTTTAATTTTTTTCAGCTTCAACCTGAACTTTCATATGAGCAATTAATGATCTGTTTCATAGTCTATCGCTGGTCTTGACTTGGCTGATGATATGGAGGTTTCCCACAAATTTTGCTCAGCTTACACATTGAATAAGTAGAGTGAATGGATATACTCCTTTCCCGTTGCTATACCACTCATTACTCTCTTAGTCTGTTTGAATGACTGCCTCTTGGTCTATGTACAAGTTCCTCATGAGCACAATTATGTGTTCTGGAATACACAGTCTTCACAGTGTTATTCATGGTTTGTTATGGTCCACACAGTGAAGTGAATTTCTAGTGTCTATAAAGCACAAGTAAACATCTTCCTGGTTTTCTGTGCTTTTAGCCAAGATCTATCTGATATCTTTAGTTCCACATCTTCTGTTATTTCAGCAAAATTTTACTTACAGGTGATATGAATGATGTTGTTTGATGGTTTCCACATTTTATTTGGCTATGTCTTTGGAATGTACACAGATATGGATCTCTTCCAGTAAGTTGGCCATGTAGCTGTCTTCCAGATTTCTTGGCATAGATGATTGAGCATATCTAGTGCTGCATGTGTTTGTTGAAACATACCATTTTGTCTTCCATCAATTCCTAGAGCCTTATTTTTCACCAGTGTCTTCAGTACAGTTGGACTTCTTTTTCTATACCATCAGTTCTTGACAATATCATATGCTGCCTCTTGAAATGCATGAGCATGGATCAATTCTTGTTGGTACAGTGACTCTGTGTATTACTTCCAACTTCTTTTGATGCTTCTTGCATCGTTCACTATTTTGCCCATAGAATCCTTCAATATTGTAGTCCGAGACTTGAATTTTCTCTTTAGTTCTTTCAGATTGAGAAATGCTAAGTGCATTCTTCCCTTTTAGATTTCTAAACTTCAGGTCTTTGCACATTTCATTATAGTATTTTACTTTGTCTTCTGTAGCTCTCTAGAAGGTTATGTATACATATAAAAAGAGAGATTCATCTCAAGGAAATGGTTCACACAGTTGTTGAGATGAGCAAGTCCCAAGTCCATTGGTCAGAGGTCAGGCCAGAGACTTCTGATTCACATAGCTGCTGGACTGATGAACAAATATCTGTAGGTCAGATGGCAGGCAGGCACATTGTGTAGATGAATGGTTGGCTTCTCATGAATCCATGGATTGGCAGCAAAAGAGCAGGCCATTGGCACAAGTCCAAGGGCCATTGTTCAGATGATGAGCCAGATGTAGAATCCAGATCTAGCAGAAAGCAAGCAAGCTTTGCCTGAGTGTTGATTATATGGAAAGCAGGCCACACTCCTAGGGAAAACATCCTTTCAGTTGATTGGCTACTCGTTGTAGATTTCATTGCAAGGGATTATTGTGTCTTGACTACCAAACCACTGAGAATCCTGGCCTAGTTAAGTTGCACAAACTCTTGACTATCAACAATTTGCCCCTTATCAACTTGGCACCTATAGATATCATCTTACGCCATACAAAATCTCTAAATAAAGGCAATTATTAAGTCATATGTACACCTGACATGCATACAACTGAAACTTCACTTACCCCATTTACATCTTGTATTTTATAAGTGAGCAAAAGAAAAACATGTGATGCATGCATACAAGGAAAACATACTCATTACAGTTACAGTCCTCATTTCTGCAACTGGCCATGTGACTGTAACTGGAATTTAGAATGACCTTCTTCCACCATCCATTCCTTATTCCCTTTGCCCTCCACAAGCAGTTCAGCTGGTTGTAGCTCTTAGCTTGGTGGGGTGACCCAAGCCTTCATTCCTCAAAGGCTTTGGCAGTAGTCATTTTACAATTGGGTTGCTGTAGTTTACCATTATTTTTATCACAGGACATGGTAGTACTAAGAAATACCTTAAGGTATCTCCTGAATTCCACACATATTATTCTTTACCTTCATTGTGAAATGTCAGTCCAATTTCCCCATGGTAGTCAGGATCAGTCATACCAACCAATACTGTAACTCTGTTCTTTGCCTATTGATCCAGAGGCATAAGGAGCCCAAAGTGGCCAGGGGCATCCACAATTCCTAGTTCAGTGGAATCAGGATCCTCAGGAGTACTAGTGAGTGGTGTCATCCCCTTCCCCCTCCCTCATTTTCAATCCTTGTTTGCTGGACATGTGAGTCCTGGTGATTGGAGGAATATCACCATCTATTGACCATCTACTGGATGCTAGTTTACAGCATATATATCGTCTTGGAGAACAATGTCCCACCCTGCAAAGTATTTCTATCTAGCTGTCACAGTAATTGTATCTTTAAAAGGCTGTTCCATCATCCAGTTAAGCCAGCTGCTTGGGGATGATGATGAATGTGATAAGATCAGTGAATTCCATGAACATGGGCCCATCACTGCACTTCATGTGCTGTTAAGTGAGTCCCTTGATCTGTGGTATACCATGAGGCTGGATAAGGCATTCTGTAAGTCCACAGATGGTAGTTTTGGCAGAAGCTTTGCATGCAGGGAAGGTAAATCCATATGTACTGTAAGTGCCTATTCCAGTAAGAACAAAACCTTGCCATTCCATGATGGAAGTGGTCCAATGTAGTCAACATACCACCAGGTTACTGGCTGATTTTCTCTCCAAAGAATGGTCCCATATTATAGACTCAGTGTTTGTTTCTGCTGCTGGCAGATTAGGCTCATTCAGCAGTTGCTGAAGCCAAGCCAGTGCTGGTGAGTGGAAGCCAGTGCTGCTGTTCTTGTTAAGTATCATCGAGTCGTTTCCGACCCATAGCGACCCTGTATAGGGTCTGAAGAGCAGCTGGTGAGCTTGAATTGCCCACCTTGCAGTTCAAACGGCTTTGCAGTCTGGTGCATTAACCCACAGCGCCACACCCCGTATCCTCCATTCCTGCCACCATGGCCACTTGACTTTGTTCATGAGACCATTGGGCAATAGCAGGAGTGGCTGGGGAAAGAGGATGATTAGTTTTCACAGGACATGTCATCCTGTCCATTTGATTGCCTCTATGAGGTAATCCTTTGCTGAGCATTTACATGAGACCCAAGTATCTTCATTTTTTTTTTGAAGAGCAGATGAAGTTCATCATCTTTACTTAGTCACACATCAATAATTGGTTAGTTCCCAGAGTGCGTGCTCCATTTCATTACCAGGGTCAGTTCTTGTCCCCTGCATGCTCCACAAATGCCAATGTAACCAAACAGTGTGGTCATTAGTAATAAAGTGTTTCAATAATACCTGTCCAATAATTCCTCTTGCTTTTGTTGTTCTGTTGGAAAAGAAAACAAGAAAGCAATAAAATCCAAACCCTCAGCAAGGCAGCAGGTGCCTTCGCTTCCAGGGTGTTTTCAGTGGCGTTCTGCTAGGCCCTGCCCCTCATCCTGCTCTCTCAGTGGAGGAAGAAAGAGGCATTGGGGCAGGATGGCCCATCTGCACAGGAATGGAAAGAGAAACCAAACACAAATATGGGCCTCAAGTGGATTCTGGAACATTTTTAGATTAAGTCATGGTATGCACAAAAGCAGGCAAACATTTGTTGAGGAAGGTAACGCCTGTAGGCAAAATAAGCCGTCCAATCTACTCATGGGGAGGAAAGAAGCCCTAGGGGGCCTCGAGGAAGGTGTTAGTTCGGAAGATGGAGGAGACGATCTTCCCCGTGGCGTTGATGGTGCCTTCGCTGTCTGAGCTGGACTCCGAGTCACTGCTCCCAGAGTAGGCACCCAAGCCCGGGAGGATGCCAGTACAGACGGCAGCAGAGGGGCAGTGGATGGAAGGCCCACTCAGGGAAGTGCTTCCAAGAGACACACAGGATGCGGCCTCTTGATTCTTGTCATCTGGGTCCGGGTCAGGTTTCAGTCTTTTCACACTATTGCCACTCTCTGAGCTCTTATGTTTCACAGCTCCTGCCAACAGCTTTGCCTGGGAGAATTTGCTCTTGGTTTCTACTGGTTTCACAGCCAACTTCTTCTCCACTTCTTTCTTGTTTTCTGGAGAAATTCCAACCTTATTGAGATTACTTCTGTATTCCTTCAGTTCTTTCAGTTCTTCTTCTCTTCGTTGCTTTTCTAGTA